AATTTACCATATAATACTCTTTTTATATAAATTCTGTCCCCCCCCCCAACTTTTTTCCTTTTTTTTTTTTTTTCTAACAGAAGAGCCCCATACTTTAAGATTTTTGAGTTAGTAAGCTACTTTTTTGCTTTTTTGATTTAGGATTGTTCTGTACTGAACTAGTGAGGTGTGCTCACAATGAGGTTTCCTCTAAAATTTTTTTTTTTTTTTTTTTTTTACTTTTTTTCTGTTAGCAAAGTAGTTGCTGCTACAGAGTGAATGCATTTGGGCCATCCGCAGGTTACTGGGTTAAGGGTTTTTCATAGGAAGGCCTCAGTGCTTTCAGGATACACCCTTGTTTACACTGACAACAAAGTAATATTGGAGCACTATGGGGTTATGGAGAATACCTTCAATTATCAATTACAGGTTTTAAATTTACCTTGGCTTTTAAAGGAATAGGGTACACCATGTTTTTTCTTAACTACTTGTATATATCTCTCTTTCTCTCCTTCTTTCTCTCTTTGACTTTGTCTCTCTCTCTCTGACTTTCCCTTTGCCTCTGTCTCTTCCTCTCTCTCTCTCTGCCTCGCTTATGCTGCAGTTCTCTCAACCACTGTGGAGAGATCTAAAGCCAGCTGTAACGAAGCATCTGTGTACGGGAACTGGTCTGGGTGCCCTGGCTTTACAGGTTACCTTGTGCCGTACCTTTGAAACAAGGGACCTATCCAGGCTTCCTTCTGATGGCCAACCTACCTCTAATGCTGGCCAGTCTATTTACACAAAGTTTTAAGTTTTCCTGGTGTCATAGTACTCCATAGTCTCCCTTAAATCCTTTCTTGAAATTTTTCAACATAGTTCCTAGTAGGGTGGGCTTATTTGTGCCTCACCCATGCTTCTTTGAGACAAAACACCACGCTCACACCACACGCACACCCCAAAACAAAGAACAGGTAAAAAGGCCACACACACACTTTTGCAGTTTACACCAAACCAAAATCAAAACCAAAATCAGAGTATCCAGAAATCCAAGCCAGGTCAAAACCAGAACCAAAGCATCAAGCAATCCAAGTCAAGTCAAAAACAAAAACCAAAGTGCCGGTACAGGCACATCATGGGTGATCAGGCCACACTTCCACCCAAATGGAGTAGGCAAGTTCCCAAGACCAGTCCCATCAAGCAATTTAAACCAAGTCAAAACCAAAACCAAAACCAAAGTGCTGATAAAGGCACGCCATGGGTGATCAGGCCACGCTTCCACTCAAATGGAGTGGGCAAGTTCCCAAGACCAGTCCTGTCAAGAAAGTCAAACCAAGTCAAAACCAAAACCAAAATCAAAGTGCCAGTAAAGGCACTTTGTGCTTTTAAGTGCACACTGTGGGTGATCAGGCCCCACTTCCACTTGAATGGAACGGGCAAGTTCTCAAGACTAGTCTTACCAAGTTTCAGATGTCCGGACTCCAAGTACCAGTTCCTTCCTGGTGTTTAGCCACTGTGTTGATCCTCCACAGGGGCCTGCCACACACTGCTCTGGCAAGGCATCCCACTGGGGCAATTGCCTACCCAGGAGCGCTCTCAGAATCTGTGTCACTCCGGCTGGTTGGAGTCCCCTGCAGTGATGTTCCACTGGGCCACCTAAGGAGTTGCCTCAACCATCTGCCAATCACCTTGCTTCCTGGCCAGGGAACCAAGAAATGTAGCAGGATGAGCTGCAGACAAAACTCCTTAGACACTGAATTAAAGAATGAAGGAGTTTATTCGGCCAGGAGCACTGGCAAGACTCCTGTCTCAAGAGCCAAGCTCTCAGAGTGAGCAATTCCTGTCCCTTTTAAGGGCTCACAACTCTAAGGGGGTCTGCATGAGAGGGTTGTGATCGATTGAGCAAGCAGGGGGTATGTGACTGGGGGCTGCATGCACCGTTAATCAACAAAACAGAACAGGACAGGGATTTTTACAATGCTCTTCCATACAGTGTCTGGAATCTATAGATAACAGAACCAATTAGGTCAGGGGTTGATCTTTAACTACCAGGCCCAGGGCACAGCGCCGGGCTGTCTGCCGATGGATTTCATGTCTGCTTTTTAGTTTTTACTACTTCTTTCTTTGGAGGCAGAAATTCAGCATAAGACAATATGAGGGGTGGTCTCCTCCCTTAGTCTGAGTTCCTTTCTCTGGAAACCATCGGGCCTTCCAAATAGTATCAAGGAACAGAAACTTACATATCACTGAATCTGGACAATGAGATGCCAGACCCCTTATCTGCCAGAAGACCACTTGCTTCCTGTTGACCAAGTCCTCTTCCTTACCCCTTTCTAATTCCTATTTTCACATGCATGGCTACATTTCTTCCCTGCTATTTAAGTCCCTAATTTTATTTGTTTATTTTTATCTATTTATTTATTTTGAGACGGAGTTTTGCTCTTGTCACTCAGGCTGGAGCAAAATGGCACAATCTCGGCTCACTGCAACCTCCACCTCCTGGATTCAAGCGATTCTCCTGCCTCAGGCTCCCAAGTAGCTGGGACTACAGGCACACGCCATCACGCCTAGCTAATTTTTGTATTTTTAGTAGAGACAGAGTTTCACCACATTGACCAGGCTGGTCTTGAACTCCTGACCTCAGGTGATCTGCCTGCCTCAGCCTCTCAAAGTGCTGGGATTACAGGTATGAGCCACTGCACCCAGCCTAAACCCCTAATTTTAGTAGGTCAGGGAAATAGATTTGAGACTGATCTCCTATCTCCTTGGCTGCAGCAACAGACTAAAGCCTTCTTCACTGACAACACTTGTTGTCTCAGTGATTGGCTTTCTGTGTTGAGAGTAGTGGGACTTAGACCAAAGCCTTAGTATTTTGGTAACAATTTCAGTCATGTGACTGAATTTGGGTGGAGAATCCAGTTACACTGTACCTGACTTAAACTGTGAGATAATAAAGATGTGTTGTTTTAATCTAATTTGTGGTAATGTGTTACACAGAAACAGAAAATGAATATGGCCTGAAACTAATATACCGATCAATATACCTACCTTATCCTTCAAAATCAGTCTCACCCCTTTAAGAGGTCGCCTTGAGCTCCAAGACGGATTCTGCTGTGCCCCTTGATGCTCCTAGGGCTCTTTTTTGGGGGGTGGGAGGACAGAGTCTCACTTTGTCACCCAGGCTGGAGTGCAGTGGTTTGATCATGGCTCACTGCAGCCTCAACTTCCTCAAGCAACCCTCCTGCCTCTGCCTCCCAAGTAGCTGGGACCACATGTGCGAGCCACCACACCCAGCTAATTTTTTGTATTTTTTGTAGAGATGAGGTCTCACTATATTGCCCAGGCTAGGCTCGAACTCTTGGGCTCAAGCGATCCTCCCATCTCAGCCTCCCAAAGTGCTGAGATTGCAGGAGTGAGCCACTGCACCCTGCCTTTGGCTCTTTGTTAGTAGTTTTTGTCTTATATCTTGTTGTTTTACTGGTTTTGTTTGTTTGTTTGCTTGTTTGAAGTGTCTTTCTCTTCTGTTAGACCATTTGATCCTTCAGGGTGAGGACTATGTCTTAGTGTATTTGTCTGTTTTCATGCTGCTGATAAAGAAATACCCATGACTGGGTAATTTATAAGAAAAAGAGGTTTAATGAACTCACAGTTCCATGTGGCTGGGGAGGCCTCACAATCACAGCGGAAGGTGAAAGGCATGTCTTACATGGCGGCAGACAAGAGAGAATGAGAACCAAGTGAAAGGGGTTTCCCCTTATAAAACCATCAGATCTCATGAGACTTCTTCACTACCACAAGAACAATATGGGGGAAACTGCCCCCATGATTCAATTATCTCCCACTGGGTCACTCCAACAACATGTAGGAATTATGGAAGCTACAATTCAAGACGAGGTTTGGGTGGGGACACAGCAAAACCCTATCATTTAGGTAGGCTTGAGGCAGGAGAATAAGGTCTGGAGGCAGGGAACCTAAGACTGATTTGCACTGACTTCCTAAAATTGAATCAAATGGAAAACCCCACCTCTCCACATCCAAGTAACAAAAGGATCAGAGGCTGCTCCCTCAGCACTGCAACACAGATGAAAAATGGAAAGTACCTCTGATTGGTCCTCTCCTGCAACCAGACTGGTCATGGTTCACTCCTTCATTTACATAGGGTATAACTAAGTAACCAGTGGGAAACCTCTGGAGGGTATTTAAACCCCAGAAAATTCTGTGACCAACCCTCTTGAGCCATTCACTCAGGCTGTTCCCACTCTGTGGAGCATACTTTCATTTCAATAAATCTGTGCTTTCTTTGCTTCATTCTTTTGTTGCTTTGTTTGTGCATTTTGTCCAATTCTTTGTTCAAAATGCCACGAACCTGGATGACTACTGACTCGTCAGGACTTTCTACTGGTAACAGGCTCTGGACTCTGACATCCCGGGTTTGAATCCTGACTTTGTGACCCTGGGCAGGTTATTTTATCTCCTTAAGTTTCTTGAAGCCTCAGGTTCCTTGGGTAAGATATGGGGATATGAGACCCTACCTTAAAGGGATACTGTGAAGATAAAATGAAGTAATTTATGTTATGCACTTCGCGTGATGCCTCACAAATAACAGGCTCTCAGCAAATGTTTGCAGAATCAATATATGGGTGAAGGACAGACAGAAGGGCGGCCTGAAGATGTGCCTGGATATGTTAATATGTGTCCCTCCACTTCCAGAAGAATTCATTCCACGAGGGACTCTTTCCTCAATCTGAGCCTCTTCTGCCAACCGCCAGCCTTCCCATGATGTTTTTGTGTCGTCTTTTTCCCTCCTTTGTTTGTTTTACTCCCGCTTCTCCTGTGATTGCTCACAGGAAAACATTCCTAGAAAAACCTCAAGAGACCAACTTCTTTTGTGCTTCAGGGCAGCAGACAGAGCCTGTGTTCTGTTGGCTGCAGCTGTGCTCCAGTCCCTGAGGGCCTGCGGAAGAGACAGCGTCTCAGGGGGACCAGGCAGGAGTCCAACAGAAAAAGACAATGCTTCAGTAAGTAACCTGGGCCCGAAACTCCAACACAAAAAGGTTATATCACAGGGCAAGTGACCCCTCACCCCTCCTGCCTCACAGACATCCTCGGTCTTGGCTGCCACCAACATCTTTCTTCCCTCCTTTCCTTCTGGCCACCTACAAAACAGTCACATCAGCATCACCCCTAACAGTTTCAAAGACACTGGGCTCTCAGGGAAGGCACAGCTTCTGTCTTGGTATGGGGTGAGGGCCATTTGGCAGACGAAAAGAAACAGGCCATCTGGAGAGGCCTCTGAGACCTCAGTAATTTGAACCAATGACTCCCTACATTTTTACTTATTGCAAAAAACAACATTATAACAACATTAAAACAGATTTGCTAAAAAAGGAAGAAAGATTATTTGTGATCCCACCACCCTAACACAACTATTTTCTTTTTTCCAAATTATCTTCCAGTTTTTGGCCACATGATAGATGTTTGCATACAATCTGTGTTGCCTTTTTTATTTTTTTCACTTAATATTATATCCTAAGTCTTTTCCAGTATTGACATATGATCTTCACATTGGCCACATTTTTTTTTCCTGCAAATATTCCAGCCAATTAGACTGAGGCACAATTAATGATTTCTTAACCTTTGGGGATTCTTGTCCATCCCCTGGAATCTTTGAGGTTGGCTCTTGGCAAAGCTGTAAAGGGAAGTAAGTTTGGTTTTGGGGCCCATCTGCATCCCTTACAAATCTTCTTTCTTCCCTGCTAGCAGTTCTAGCCTAAGAGTTCTATCGCCATATCCCATTCCCCAACCTGTTCTCTAATATTGCACTGCCAGTCATTGTACTATCAAAAAAAGTAATAATATAGGTTCCAATTTTTCTTCAGTGTAAAAGCAATACATATGCATGTTGTCCAATACGGGAAACACAGAACAACAAAAATAAAAATAAGAAGTAAAAATCTGCTATAATCTTGCTGCTTATGATCACATGCCACTGAAGATCCCATTTGTCTGAATTAGGTATTTTCCTCCTGGACTCTTCTCTGCCTTCCAGCCTCATTTCATCATTGCAACTTGTGTTGCGTAAATAGGTACATGGCAAATCAGTTGGGGCACCTGGGGTTGGCTAGTTGAAACCACAGAGGAACTTCCTATCTCATACAACTGAAATGTACAGAGGCAAGATGGACTTCAGGACTGGTTTGATCTAGTGACTCAAATATGTCATAAAGGAAATGGTTTCTTTCTAACAATGGTCTTCTGCTTCCCATAGCATTACTTTCTTCCTAAAATAAGCTCTTCTTGTAGTCCAAGATGTCTGTCTTATCAACAGCTTCTGAGGCTACTTACTGCCTGGTTCTTGTCTAGCAGAACATGAAAGCCTCTCTCCCCCAGCATCTAATAAATTCCTGAGACTTCCTCTGATTGGATCAACGTGGTTCCTATGGCTACCCATGAACCATTCCTAGTGGCAAGGAGGATGGGGCAACTGGCTACTCTGGGTGGCTGAGACCAGTAAGTCTCAAACTCTGGTCTCAGGATCAATTTACACACCTAGAAATTACTGAGGATCCCAAAGAATCTTTTTAACACAGTCTTTCTCTTGATATTTGCCAAATTAGAAATTAACACTGAGAAAGTTTTAAATATTTAATTTAAATATTTAAAATTTAAAATTTTATTAAGTCATTAAAATAATAAATCTGGCTGGGCATGGTGGCTCACACCTACAATCCCAGCACTTTGGGAGGCCGAGAGGGGTGGATCACCTGAGGTCCGGAGTTCATGACCAGCCTGGCCAACATGGTGAAACCCCATCTGTACTAAAAATACAAAACTTAGCTGGGCGTGGTGGTGTGCGCCTATAATCCCAGCTACTTCTGGAGGCTAAGGCAGGAGAATCATCTGAACCTGGGAGGTGGAGGTTGCAGTGAGCCATGATTGTACCATTGCACTCCAGCCTGGGTGGCAGAGCAAGACTCTGTCTCAAGCAAAACATAAATAAATAAAATAATAATAATAATAAAACCATTGCATGTTAATATATATTGATAAAAATAACTTTTTTTTTTTTGTTTTTAGACAGAGTTTTGCTCTGTCACCCAGGCTAGAGTGCAGTGGCGTGATCTCGGCTTACTGCAACCTCTGCTTCCCAGGTTCAAGCAATTTTCCTGCCTCAGTCTCCTGAGTAGCTGGGATTACAGGCACATGCCAGCGCGCCCTGCTAATTTTTTGTACTTTTAGCAGAGACAGCGTTTCACCATGTTGGCCAGGCTGGTCTCAAACTCCTGACCTCAAGTAATCTGCCCACTTTGGCTTCCCAAAGTGCTGGGATCACAGATGTGAGCCACTGCATGCAGCCAAAACCAGTTTTTTTTGGCTGCATGCAGTGGCTCACATCTGTGATCCCAGCACTTTGAGAGGCCCAGGCAGAAGCAACACTTGAGCCCAGGAGTTTGAGGCCAGCCTGGGCAACAGAGGGAGACCACTGTCTCCACAAAAAATTAGAAATTAGCCTGGCATGGTGTTGGGTACCTGTAGTTCTGTCTACTCGGGGGAGGCTGAGGTAGGAAGATTGCTTGAGCCCAGCAGGTAGAGGTTGCAGTGAGCCGAGATCGTGCCACTGCACTCCAGCCTGGGTAACAGAGTGAGACTCTATCTCCAAAAAAAAAAAAAATGCTGCTGTCCTGGATTTGTAAGTAGCCTGAGTGACTCTTTGCTAATCACTATTCAGAGGCTTCTCTGAGATCAGCCACTGACTTGGAGAGATACCGGTAAAGCTTTGAGAGGTGGAGGCTGATCTTAGTCTACTGTTTCAAGATCTCTGTCTTAATCCAGAATAATAGCTATAATAGCTAAGGATGTCTCGGTGGCTGGTGAGAAGGAAGTTTGGGGGTCTGCTTGTCTTGCTCCCCAAGTGGGTCAACCTAATGTGAGTGGAGTGAATGAGGTAGTAAGGGCTTAACAGATGTCTTGTGAGGCTTCAAGTGAGCTGTGATCATGCCACTGCATATCACCCATGCCTGGGCGACAGAAAAAGACCCCGTCTCAAAAACAAAAACAAAAACAAAAACAAAAAGCTACTATTTCCCAAAACAGAAAGATTAGTGAGAAAAATGACTTTTTTTTTTCTTTTTCTTTTTCTTTTTACTGAATCCCAAATGTGATAGTAAGTTGTTGTTTTGTTTTGTTTTTAAAAAAAAAAAACATTTTTGGAAGTCTCTTTAAGTCTAGCTTAACAGAAGACAGCTGGATTTTTATATCTGCTTCTGTATTCAATCTGTTGCAAATTATTTTGGTTGTAGCACATGAAGAGAACTCGGCCTCACATTGATTTGTAATTGGAAAGTTACAAGTATTTTAAACACCTTTTAAGATAATTGTGAATATTTGTCTTTGATACTACACCAAAACTCTACAAGAGGTTGTTTTTAAATGTTTTTTGCACTGTGGAATCTGAAAACTTCTCTGTAAACTTCTATTGTTAAATTAAAACCCATTGTCTGCCTTGTACTTTAAATGGATCTTTACTCATGGATGACTTTGTAACATCATGTGCTAACCATTTGGAAGGCGATGATTCACTGGGTAAATGTAGTTGTTATACATTATCCAGTATCCAAAAATCACATTCATTAATGTCACCATTGATCTCATCAGAAAGTCCTTAAATATTGAGAAGCCGTTAAGCTCATGGTGATGCACGTTTTCCAAAATTCTAAATTTCTCTTGGAAAGTTGGAATTTTTTCATCATTGGCAACAAATAGTCTATTGTTTTCCTTGAAGACACAGGCTCATTTAGTTCATTTTCAAGAAAATACATACCAAATACCCAAGTCAGAATAATCATAGCTTATCAGACATTTTCTCAAGTAAAAATGGTGTTCCATAAAGAAAAACAGCAAGTTCAGCTTGCAATTCAAACAATTGCACATGTGATTTTCTAAGTTAGAAAATGATCTCACTTAGACAACCGTGTTACATAGACAACTATCTTACATCTGTTTGCAGCAAAAGTACTTTACATGTAGTTTTCGTTTTGTCATATTAAATAATAAAACGCCATGACTCCACTTTGGGAGGCCGAGGCAGGTGGATCACCTGAGGTCAGGAGTTCAAGATCAGCCTGGCCAACATGGTGAAACCCCTGTCTCTACTAAAAATACAAAAATTAGCCAGGATGATGGCAGGTGCCTGCAATCTCGGCTACTCGGAAGGATGAGGCAGGAGAATTGCTTGAACCCAAGAGGTGAAGGTTGCAGTGAGCTGAGATTATGCCATTGCACTCCAGCCCGGGCAATAAGAGTGAAATTCCATCTTAAAAAAAAAAAAAGCCATGACTCAAGTTTTCAGATTTTAATAATTTTGGTGCCACTGCCTTGATTTCTGAAGGTGCCAGTTGTTTGACCCACCTTTGTTTTTGTGCTGTCAGTCAAGAAGATAACTGATGTCTTAGATTATTATGAGATAGTTTTGATTTCAGAGTTCCCCTGAAAGGTCCTCAGGGACTCCCAGAGGTCTTTGGACCACATTTTGAGAACCCCTGGCTTAGACCAATCAGAACCCTGTCATAGACTGTGGTAAACTCACTTAAAAGGTATGTTATATCACAAAGGAGGAGGGTGGATGGATGTTGGGGGCAACCACAAGGCCTGCTATGAGAATGACCAAAGCAATCAGCATAAGTAAAGAATTAGGCCAGGCGTGGTGGCTCACTCCTGTAATCCCAGCACTTTGGGAGGCTGAGGCAGGAGGATCACTTGAGGTCAGGAGTTTGAGACCAGCCTGGCCAACATGGTGAAACTCTATCTCTTCTAAAACTATGAAAATTAGCTGGGTGTGGTGACCCTTGCCTGTAATCCCAGCTACTCAGGAGGCTGAGGCAGGAGAATTGCTTGCACCCAGGAGGTGGAGGTTGCAGTGAGCCGAGATCATGCCACTGCACTCCAACCTGGGTGACAAAGTGAGACTCTGTCTCTTAAAAAAAAAAAAAAAAAAGTGTTGCTGTCCTGGATTTGTAAGTAGCCCGAGTGACTGTTTGCTAGTCACCATCCAGAAGCTTCTCTGAGATCAGCCACTGACTTGGAGAGATACCAGTAAGGCTTTGAGATCTAGAGGCTGATCTTAGTCTGCTGTTTGGAGATCTCTGTCTTAATCCAGAATAATAGCTAAGGATGTCTCTGTGGCTGGTGAAATGGAAGTTTGGGGGCCCGCTTGTCTTGCTGCCCAAGAGGGTCAACCTAATGTGAGTGGAGTGAATGAGGTAGTAAGGGCTTAACAGATGTCTTGTGATGCCGGGGCAGGAGGTAGCTTCAAGTTCCTTTTCTTCCTCACCCCCACCTTACACCCATCCTTGGAAGCTGGGATAATGCTGACTCTCATGGCAGCCATAATGCTATCAGGACTGGCTTTGCAGACAAGGGGAATCTGGAAGAGAAGGGTAGGGGCAGTGGAGACAGAGAGCGGTAAAGAGTGTTGCATCAAGCACATGTGTCAGAGGCGTTTAAACCAGAGTGCCTCCATTTTGAGTGAAGGCTAGAAAAATGAGGCTGGGACTTGCTAGTCCGCATTCCCTGAAAGTTAGGCATTCCTAGCCTCTAGATGTTTATGGTTAAGGGAACAAATTAATAATGCTTACTAAACAGACCCAGACTTGAGAGTGTCCAGATATCCCGATATCTGGAGAACAAAGGCATTCCTAATTTTGCTTTAAAAATAATAATATTGATTATTGCAAAATATGGTAATTAGGAAAATTAATCCTTTATCACAAACCCTTGTAGCAGAAGATATCTCCCCATATATACAAGCATGACAAGCATTGTACCTTAGTTGGATACGTCCCTCCTCTTATTTTCAGGAATGCCCTGCTGGAGTGCAGTGGCGATCTCGGCTCACTGTAACCTCTGCCTCCCGGGTTCAAGCGATTCTCCTGCCTCAGCCTCGTGAGTACCTGAGACAACAGGCTTGCGCCACCACGCCTGGCTAATTTTTGTATTTCTAGTAGAGACGGGGTTTTGCCATGTTGGCCAGCTGGTCTGGAACTCCTGACATCAGGTGATCTGTGCGTCTCAGCCTCCCAAAGTGCTGGGATTATGCGTGAGCCACCGTGCCCAGACACCACTTTACTTTCTTAATAAACTTGCTTTTACTTTGCACTGTGGATTTGCTCTGAACTGTTTCTTGCATGAGATCCAAGAATCCTCTCTTGGGGTCTAGATCGGGACCCCTTTCCTGTAACACATGGACCTTGGGCTGATCTCCAAGATTAAGAGGGCAAGGTACTCAGCAGCTCTGCCTGGCTAGCCTCGGCCAACTTACTGGATTTAAATCGCCCAGTGACAGCTTTTCCTCCAATATTTTCAAAATGCTCCCAATATCCTCACGTTAGAACAATCCAGAAATAGTCTTATGGTAAAACCCTTTTGGGAGGTGTGAAAGTAGAGTCCTCCCACTGTTTCCTTCACAACGCTTTTTGCCCCAACCTCGATCGCCCAGGCAGCACATTTTTTTCCGGCACCCCCACCAAGGGAAGAACAGAGACATCTCCAAACCAGCTGTCCTGCGCCAAGCTGTTACAAAAAAGAGAGATGAGGCTCCCAGTTTATGCAAACATATTTGGCTCGGTGTCTAGGATCTTCTTTTTCAAACCCAGAAGGGGATTGCAGGTACACGGCCGCGGCGCTGTGTCTGCCGCTCTGAAAGGAAGTCGACCTCCTTGACTGGCTTCACTGGAGTCCGGTCCGAAAGCACCGGAAAGTTGCAGGCGCACAGTATACGCTCAGCTGTGTCCAAAAAATAACCTATCAATCACTGCCTTAAGCTTTGTTTCCTTCCTGAATTGTTTTATTTTCACGAATATTTATGCTTTTACAAACTGTTTATCATTTCCTCTCCAGAACCAAGAGGGGCTCGCCCCAGCCCGGCCCCCGCCCCGGGTGCGTCCCTGCAGGGGGCGCCCTACTCCGACAGTGCCCACTGCTCCGCAGGGCGGACGGGCCGCGCGCCCGGGGGCGGGGCCTCTGCGGAGGCATCGTGCTCTCCGATTGGCCTTCCGCGTCCTCGTGACGCCAGACCCCGCCCACGCGCCCCTCCTCCGCATCTGCGCGGGGGAGCGGCGGCCCACGGCTGAATGGGCGCGAGTGCGGTGCCGGGGGCGGGTGGGGGTGCTGGGTCCCGGGCTGGCTGCCGGCCGGCGCCCCCTCACTAGTATGCGGAGGAAGGCCGCGGGCTGGGCGGAGCGGCGTCCCCTGCAGCCGCGGACAGAGGCAGCGGCGGCACCTGCCGGCCGAGGTACGTGGCGCAGCCCCCTCCTCGGCGTCGCGGGGGCCCGGGGGCTGGGGGCTGCGGCGGCGACCTGTCTCTGCCCGGCTAGGCGCGGCGTTTCCGCCTCGAACGCCGCGGGCAGCGCCCAGGGCACGGCACCCTCAGGCGAGCCCGGCCGGGGCGCAGGCGAAGGGTCGTGGTCTCGGGCCGTGTGGACCGGGCAGGGGCGCCCGGGCAGGTGTGGAGGCGGTGGAGGGTGGGGCGGACCGCCGGTTGTCGGGTCCAGCCGCAGTGGCCCTTTCCCCGCCGCTTTCTACTGCAGCTTGGGATTTAATTCATTGCTGGAAGCTTCGGAGCTAGCAGAGCCGAGTTAACTCGTTTTCCTGGGATGGGCTTAGGGGACCCCTTGCAGGGTTACTAGCGGCTCCTGAAACCGCTCTCTGCATCCATCGGGGAGGCGTGATGTGGGGCCGCTGGTAGAAATTCGCCGGTGACCTTCCCTGCACCCTCTCTGCAGCCAGCCTTGCAGAGAAGACAGGTTTTGGCGACCTTTTGATTTCTTCTGAATTGTAAGCCGTGGCTTGACGGGGGTGTGCATTCATTGTACGCCTTGCGTGTGTAAGTAACACAGGGTTTTCCGAGAGCATCCCCGAGGAGCCCTGCCCCTACCCCACACCAGCTTGGTGACCTTGGCAGACACTGATCCCGCTGTGGGGCTCCGGCTCTTGGTCTCTCCTGAGAAGCTTACCCTTATGGCCGAGGTCCGTTCCAGGCCCCGGGTTTTTCTAATGACAAAAAAAATACGTTTACGAGGATAGAGGGTCCTGCAGAATCACTAGCTGACTCGGAAGACGAATTTTATATCTTCATGTCTTAAGTCATGCATGCGGCCTTTGCTTAATTAGGCATCGTTCATTTGAAGGGGGAAAATGGTTTTATGTGCTGCGCTTCATCTGGCACCGGTGGTTGCCTGCGCCTCGTGCCAGAGCCGTGCTGGGTGTCACAGAGAGGAAGGAGACTCGTCTCCTGCCCTCTGGTGTTTAGCTGCCCTCCCCCGGGCTTATGGCTGCTAATCCTTTTCAACGGAAGGATACAGCTGCTGAAACTGTGGAAGAGGAATCCATTTCTGCTGCATGAAGGGGCACAGACTTGAATACAGTCAGGACAGTTTGTGGTTTCACTTGGGTAATCCTGAGAGCTTGACAGCTTTCAGGAGTGTCCAACATTGGTAGTCACAGAGCCTGGAAGCACCTGAATTCCAGCTGTCACTTTGAGAAGGAGATTCATACGAACTGCGAGAGCATATAACCAGCATGTCTTGAGTCTTTTACCCGTGTGCCTGTTATATGGGTGCTGCTGTTTTTGTAAGATGAAATGACCCTTGGATATTCTTGATTATGATCAGCGTTTCTTCGTCTAGGCAAGAAAAGAAATAGGTGAGATAGGAAGGCATGAAGGGGCTCATGGAAGAGAGAGGGCTGGCAGGCATAAATTCTGAGAGCTCACATTTACAACTGTTTAGACGGTTCTTATAATTTTGGCATAAATTGTAAATTGTTGCATGTTACCAAAATAGATTGGTGATGAATGTTAAGGATATATCCATGGCAGAATAAGAACACACTCTTTGTTCTTTGGTTTGCCTCCTCTGGTTCTTCTCTGCTTGCCTTGTGGGACTGTTTGCAGCGGTGAGGGGAATTTATCTAGCAGGTTGACTCTCAGGAGGCAGTGAATGAAAAGAGGTTAGTGAGTCCTCTGTGGGAGTCCATTCCAGGTCCTGGAGGGCTGAAGTGGGTGTCTTGGAGCCAGCAGTTTCTGGGAGAAGGGATAAGGCTCTCACCTTCCACACTCTACTGGCTCCTGAGGAGCAATTTAATCCGCACTGCCTGTGGACATGATGGAGGACTGAGATCACTCCCAAAGGGCGTGCTCCGTGGTTTTAGTCTGCTGGGAAGCTCAGGCAGAAGTAAAACAACTGAGAATATACACACGTTAATGATGCTCCGAGCTTCCTAACTGCTGAGGAAGGAAAAGCAAGGGCTGGATCAGTGTGGGTGGCATAAGTTAGCAGAGGCATCCAAACTGGGGTGAATCACAGGCCTGGTGTGGGAGGAAACCATAAATATGTTGGTGACACGCAGGCTCGCCCAGGAGACAGCCAGCTTAAGCACATGTGCAAAGGAGAAGCAAGCGAAATGCGTAAGGGAGCAGGAGAAAAGTCAGCTTTGAGACTTCAAGGACACTACCAGGCTTGTCTTACTTACCTGGACACCAGACAGACAAAGGTTTCTTTTTTTTTTCTTTTTTTAAAGTATAGCGTAGATACTAGGAAAGTAGACATACCATAAGTGTCCTGCTCAATGAATTTTCCAGCCTGAACGTGCCCATGCACTCAACACTTAGATCAACAAACAGAACTGGCCGGGACCCTGGGAGCTCCCCTTGTGTTGTACTCCAGTCATGGCCTCCCCCAGGATCAGCCTTGAACTCCTGGACTCAAGCAATCCTCCTGCCTTAGCCTCCTCAGTAGCTGAGACTACAGGTGCACACCACCAGACCCAGCTAATTTATTTTATTTTATTTTTGTAGCGACGGCTCCCACCATGTTGTCCAGGCTGGTCCCCAACTCCTGGCCTCAAACTGTTCTCCCACATTGGCCTACCAAAGCGCTGAGGTTACAGGCGTGAGCAAATGTGCCCGGCTAGTGTATGTCTTCTTTCCTTAAGCATTGAGTTTCTGAGAGTCACTCATGGTGGTGCCCATGGTTGAAGCATGTTCACTCATTGGTGATAGGGGCCATCGGGTGAATATACCACATAGTCACGCATTGTCAGTGACATTTGGGCAGTTTCAGCGTTTGTCTGTTACAGAAAGTGCCACTGTGACCACTCTAGAGTCTGGCTTTGGTACATATTTGTATGCATTTCTGATAGGTCTATACCTAGGCGTGGTATTGCTGTTTTAGGAGCCCTGGGCACACCTATTTTATTCCAGTTTTGAAATGACCACATTGATAGTTCCTGTTAGCTGATGAGGGCGACAGTTCTAAGGAGACTGGGGCAGGAATCAGGAGTCCTTCTAGCAGTCAGGATCAGTTTCTACCTGGCTATGTATGGTGTCAGTAAGTGTCGTCACCTATAGGCCACAGTCTCCCAGTGGGTCAGGCAGCAGGGCAAGCTGAGCTGTGGGGAACCGTTAGCTCCTAAAGAGCCTCGACCTAAGGGAAGTGTTTCTCCGATGAAACTGCCTGGCTTGGTCTCAACTCCCACCCTTCTTGCTGCAAACAAACCCCCGCTCTTTGAGCTCTCATAATACTGTACTTCCTATACTTTATGTCTACTTCTCTGGCCTGCTTTCTCTGCATTTCTGCTCAAAATTATCCGTGACCTAGAGGAAAAGCCCATTTCTTATGTGGGTTTTTGAGGCCATGTAAGACATTTTTGTTGTCCTGTTATTACAGCATGGAACAATATTCAGAATTAAGTTATTGGATGGTTCACCAAGTCCTGTACCCATGAATTCTTTCCTTTTTTCCTTCAATTTTTAACATCTGGAATTATAACACTTAAGTATCATGTGATAGGATAGGATCAGTTTGATAACAGATTAGAAAGGTCTGCTTTGGTGGAATAGTACTTCTGTCTTTTGACCGTTAAGGCTGTGTTTAAGACCATGTCTTTTTCATGATTCAGGGCTTATGTGTATTGAGTTCTGAGCAGGGGCAGTTTTTCTGTTACACGTATCGTTTCTTCCTCAGCCTTCCTCTCTCCTCAGCGTCTGCATTTTTATCCTCTTCTGCCCTGTTCTTCACCCCCTTTTTGCTTTTCATAAACATCTTATTCTCATCTCTAATCTATACTCTAGCAGAAGAGAGTAGGACAAGTATGGCCTCTGATACTCTCCTCTCTTTGCTTGTCACTTTCTGCAATCTAGTTGTTGTCACCCAGGACTTGGGAACTGATGTGGGCTTCTTGCTCATCCTTCCTCTAGATCACTACTGTGCAGTGGAAATATAACCTGACCCACACATCTAATTTTATATTTTCTAGTAACTACATTTTAAAAATTGAAAAGAAACAGGTGGATCAAAGTTTCAATTTCCCAAAAAGTTTCCATTTCTAAACTCTTATGCACCTAATAACACAGCTGCACACTATGTAAATTATTAATGAGCTGCTTTATACTCTGCTTTTCACGGTAAGTTCACTCCCTGCCCCCACAAGTGAACCCACATGCTACAAAACATAGATATGACAAAAAGAAATAAATGCTTTCCTACTCACTTTATTCTCATCTATTGTAGATATGTTACATATACTAACTAATGTAATTTTCACCACAACCCTAAGTGTTTGGTGCCATTGTCATCCCCATTTTATAAAGGAGGGTATTGAGGAAGAGAGGTTAAGAAGCCATAGGGGGCAGAGCTGGGTTCAGACTCAGGCAGTCTGGCCTGGAGGTGGTAAATGAAGCTGTTGTATCCATGTCTTTGTGGTCTGTAGTGCATTCCCAGCCTGCCCCGTGGAACAGCTCCTGGTGAAGTTGGCCAGGATGATCTCAGGGGCCTGAGA